GTCCCAGACAGACCCCGAGCTGCTCCTGCAAGAGTTGGGAGGCTGGGACTGGGATCTCTGCCGTCGGGAGCTGCCCGCCGTCCTGCCCCGGCTCCTTATATCCTTCCCAGGGTGGGCTGTTGGGTGGCTGTGGGGGGACCTACCCCGAAATGGCGGGGGGGTTGAGGGTCCCTCGGGTGTGGGACGTGGCCGCCGGCTCCCCAGCGAGTCTGAGGTGCAGGGGGAGCCCCTGGGCCGTGGTGGCTGGTGTCAGCGGGCACAGCTCAGAAGGCCCTCCTTTCCCTTTTATGGGTGCCTCGTGTGAATGTGAGAAGAGGGTCAGTATCTCTGTCAGATGTCATTTCCAACCCTGAAAAAAACTCATTTAGGAAAACGATGTGTTCACTAAGTAAAAAAAAAACTGAAATAAAACACCTTAATTACAGCTTTTCTGTGTCTGTCCAGAGAAACCTCCCTCTCTTGGAGGTGAAAGAAGGGAATTGGAGAAAAATGAGTGGAAAATAGCCGAAAATAAGAGTTCTAGAGGATTTGATGCCTTATGTGTATTCTAATGGTTCTAACCATTCTTCTTGTGCAGATCATATATTTGAAAAAGTAAATCCTGAGATGGAAAAGCTGGGATATGAGTGCAAGTGCCTTGGAGGAGGGAAAATTGATCATAATAGCAAAGACAAGAAAATTAGGGTATTTGGTCTCTCTACAGTAAGTGCATTTCTTGCATTCCTTTAAATCCTTTTGTCTCTGATGTTCTGGGATTTTTGTTTTATAGTATGGTGCTTTTGGCAATTTGAATCACAGTGTAAACATTAACTGGAAAATGTGCCTGGCTCACTTGTGAGATAGATTAGAGTAACATTAGTTTTAAGGGCAGGAGATGAAAGCAACAATAGTAACAATGTTGAGTAATACCAAGATTAAGTTATAATGAAGGCTAAAAATGGAAGTTAACCTCTTCTGGCTCAATATTTTAGTCTTACTACTAGAGTAGGAATAACCCATTTGTAGCCACAGGGTCTTGATCCAGCTACTGTGTTATCTTTATTTGACAGTAACAATGTTGCTTGGTAAACACCAGTTAAATTGTGAATCTTGTTCTGTATATGTGTTGGGTGAGAAGAGTAGACCCAGTTTAGGTGTGAATTTTTAGTAGGTGAAGATGTAGTTTCACATAAATGCATGTTATGGAAATAGAAGTAGCTTACAAGAATACAGAAACTTGAGCGTTTTTGTTACCTGTTACTGTTCAGTCTAAGTTCAGTTTCTTTATGAAAGATTCAGTGATAATGATTTCTTGAACTTAGGGAACATGCTATAGTCTGTTTCTGGTGTTGCTCCGTGAAGCATAGTTACTTCTGTAGTAATACTCTGAGTAAAGATTCTAGGTTTCTAATGTAGATAAGAAGAAAATAGCTCTATTAATTTTTTATAGAAAGTGATGGTTACTTCAAACCTGCTTACCTTAAACGAGCAGTGAAAGTTGGGCCTTGAATGAGTTAAATGTTAGTGCTGGTTTTGTTCCAAGATTACTCTTGCCACCTGGAATAAGAAAAAAAAAACCTCTTTAGGATTTGTGTGGGGTTGGAAGGCAGTGTATTCTACTAAATTCTTGTGACTGTAGGTCCTCATCATAATTGCATCTTTTAGAAGAGACTTGACACCTGAATTATTAATTCAGCTGCCAGTTTAGTGTTAGAGGAAGTGGTTGACTCTTGCTCTTGTAATGCAACGTCTGTGGAAGGTACCTTGTTTCCCTGGTTTCAGTACCTTGATGCTTATAGATGAGCACCATGTAAAAGCAGAGTTTTATTACCATGAGGGCTTCTGTCAGATAAGAGACCTGGAGGCTCAGAAGTTTGTATATTAATTACATTGGTTTAATGCTTCTCTTTACTTGGAGATTTGTTGTCAGACTCTAAAGCAGAACTATCATCATGTTTTATGTCATTGACTACTTCTGAAGTAGATGCTGTGCTATTACTTGCAAAGCCAGATGGGGTCTTCAAAGTGATTACCAAGACAAGAGTGATCTGTAGGTCTGATGCTTTACAACTGACACCATAAGCCTGCATATTTCTGACATAACTATATTACCTAGTATTTTTGAAAAGTTTGTATTTTATAATGCATCAAGAATTTTAACCTGTGCAGTTTAAATGCTGGATTACTTAAGCTGTTCCTCTTGGGGCAGTCAGTGATGAATGAGTACCTGTTTTGTTTGATAATGCAATCTTGAGGTCGTTCTTCAGTCTTCCAAGTTAAGTTGCCTATGAAATATTACTGTAAATCACAGGGGTTGTCAGTACACTGCAATGTTGTGCAGTAAAGGCTTTATGACAGGGAAGAACTAACTTGTTCTGAAATGAGAAATCAAGATAATAACTCAAGTCAGAAGACAATAATGGAAAGGCAATTTCTACTACAACTGTCGCAAATTTCAGTAAAAGAGTAACACTGTGATCAGTGATTTAAATGAGGGTTAAAAATCATAGGGGTCATCTGACCTTGCCTTAGTTTGGAGTTGCAGTGACTGAAGAGCATGGATATTTAAAATTATGCCATTCCCAGCTAAGACAAGATTGCAAATAAATAAAACATGAAGACTATGATTTCTTTAATGTCTAGAATAGTACTTAAATGTTCACACATGTGGTGGCTTATTCCCTTTTCCTTCAGCTGAGCCAAATCAGATGTTTGTATGCTCATACATTAAAGTGGGTAATGTGATCTCTGTTGTTTAAAACAACATTCAATAAGAATGGTGGCTGAGGGTTTGGGAACATTTTAAAACAAACTTTCTGCTGGATAAATGATGTGAAAAATGCTTTCTCTACTGCCTGAGATTGCTTGACCCCATCACATGTATTTTCTGCAACTCTGCTTGGGGGGGAATTAGAGAGGAAAATAGAAAAATAAAACGTGATACTGCAAGGATAACTTTTAGAACCTGTATTTGATTTGTATGTGAACTACTTGAAGTATCAAATCATAACTGGATAATTTGTGTCGGCAAGAACTGAATGGTTCTGTGGACTTACTATCTGTACATGTCTAATAAGCATTTGTTCTTTCTTGCAGGGCTATGGAAAAGCAGATCATTCGGTGACTGTAGAGATACTGAAAAAAGTGTATACAGATTATGAAATTACATGGTCAGATGACAAGAAATAAATCAGCTACTTATTAACACAACAGGCAGTTCAAAACTGGTAACTGAGTTGTACTTTGTTAAATTGAATGTGTCTTCTATATATATTACCATAAATCTGGAGTAACTGGACTCTGCTGTAATTTATAATACAGTTAGTATCCCCAGATTGTATCTTATTTTTCATATTCCTTTGTGTAGAATCTGCAGTTCTAAGCCTTTTTTCCCCTCCTTCTGACATGCCATCTAATTAAACTCTCCCACATCATCTTACCTCCAGTTTGCTTTCATTCAATTTTGTCTCATCAGTATATTGTAGGATACATCAGAGTTTTGCCATCAACTTAAAATGCTGCAGGACCAAACCTGTTCCCTGGTCTTTTAACCACAGTGTTCTCAGTTTCCTTTATTTTCTATTGCTCTTCAGGCTTTTCAACTTTCTTATCCACATTTACAAAAACTGGAGGGGAGGGTTGACTGTTACAGTTCTTCACCAATGATCTAAATCTTCAATTTACTCCATGGTTTTGAAAATGCAGTATTTGTGTTCCACACAATGATCAGTATCTTCTATGTTTCTGCAAGATTCTTCCCTCTAGCAGACTGATGGCAGTGTCAAATTCTGACAGCACTTGTTTCAGATTCCCTGTACTACTTTTATTCCCCATGAGTATAATGATGCTTTTTTTTTTTTTAATAGCAATAATTATAGTTAACTACCTCCCAGACAGTACACCTAGGCAGTGTCTGAATTACCTTACAACTTCAGTTGTGAAGTTACTTGCTACAGTTTTTGCTTGTTTCCCGACAGTCTTCCTTTAATGCTGTTGTGGATTTCAAGGGAGTATCTTTTGTTCTTATGCTTACATTGTTGACTTGAAGCCTTCAAGAAGGATTTGTATATAAAGCCCAGTTCTTCTCTTTGCTGTGGTTCCTACTGCACTTACCTACCAGTATCTGGTGGTATAGAGTAGCTTTTTCTTTTCAATGTCCATGTGACTCTGTAAGTACAAACTGAAATTTGAGAGGCTTTAGTCCTGTTTCTGTCACAAAAAAATCCTACCTTACTGGGTTATTACACTAATTGTCCATCTTATGTCACCCTTCTGTGTCTTTGGAGAGGAGCTTCCTGAGTCTCATCCTTAAACCTTTCAGTTCCTTCCTCATTAGAAGAGTTCCAGGTAATCACCTTGGAGCAGGGTCTCTTGGTTGACTTCCCCCACATGCAGCCTGGACCTTCCCCCCCAGAGCCCTTATGCACTTTTGCATCTACTGTTTGTGCTTCTCTTTATGCTCTTGTGCGACAGTCTTCTGGCTGCACCACTCCAAATGCCATTATAACATTGACTGCAGGTTTGATTTTTCTTAAGATTTTGATTTCAGAAGGTGATTAAATGCCTGTGTACCTAATAACCAAGAATAGCATATGAGTCAATAATTTGCAAATTGGGCATCTCCCACTTCAATTTTCCTCATGGGTTTTTTCCCATAAGCTTTAGTAAAATAACTGTAATTGGTGCCAGTATTCAAAATTGATCTTTTTAATAGCCTCATTTCCCAAAACTAGCAAATAGTCTTCAAAGGGAAGTCATAAGCGCCTGTTAAAACAAACAATGTTTTCAGTTTAGTTTCCTGAGAAGTTTAATGACTGATTTTAATGTTTCTCTCCACAATACTTACGGGAAAGACACAATTTAGACCGGATTTCTTATTGTGATGACTCTTTCAAAAAGCAAGGGGATGGGGGCGAGGGTAGAAAAGGGGTGATGATATGGAATGAGCTGATAAATTGAGTTACCAGCTGACCTCTACCTCTTGTTTCTTCATGCAAGGAATTGGCCCTGATGTAAGGGGCTATTGTAACATCAAAAAACCACTTTGAGGGTCCTCCCAATTCTGTTTTCTAGTGCAATGTCATTTGGGGAAATGTTACTTCATAGCTAGGGAAATGAACATGTACAAATATTCTAAGTGAAAGATTTTTATTCCAGATCATGAAGAGAAGCAGGGAACTGGTCACTAAGGTGGTGATGACTTGGTAAGTAGAGAAAGCCGTAATGCAGATCAGGGAAACTAGTATTATTTGATGTTGAAACAGCAACAGAACAACCAGCCTACAAAACTAAGTGTTGAATTCTACTTCCTCTTGGCATCTATCTGCTGAATTTTAAGACTAGAATAGAACTCATCTGGAATTATGGAAATCCCAATGATAATTTTGCTGATTTCACCTGAGAAAAATATCCTTTATTAATTTTGATCTATAATTCTGAAATGGGAACTTAAATTATACTGTGTGGGGTTTCCTGTTTTGCATGTGTGTCATCACTGTGTGACTGTAGCTCTAGCAGTCTTAAGTCTTAAAAAAGCTGGTTTCATGCAAATATAGAATCACATTTATCTGAGCAATCCAAGAATGAGGATGCTGAGCAAAGGAGTAGTATAGTAAACCCAATACAGTGAGTTTGATTGTGGAGTATTTTCAAAAGGAAGCATTATGGTAGAAGACTGTAAGTGCTGCCTTCATTTACTCATCAAAAATACATGAGACTTTTAAACTGTATTCTCATAATGGTCAACTTTCCTTATTACTTTGAAACTCCACTAAACCTAGAAGGTATAGAACAAGCTATTCAGTCACTCCATGCAAGCCAACATTTGTCTTATGACTGAAGCTTGAAAAATAGTAAGCGGTAGTCACTTTGTTTCCAACTTCCCAGTTTTGACAAAAGAAGAACTGTTAAAAGTATTGATCTGCCAAAGCTAAAACTTCATTTTGTTCTTCAATCTGTAGTTAGCAGTTGTCTGTCATCAGTAAATTCGAGTTGATGCAGAAAAATTCCAAAGCACAATCACAGCTATGGCACAGCTAACTGCTTTTTTCCTCTCTTATAAACGAGAAACTTCAGTGGTTTCCAAAGCATCCCTTTAAAATAGTCTTAAAACTTGCAATTGTTTTTGAAATGGTAGTTAAGGCTCTTGTGTAAAGTACAGGAAACCCTCTATGACTAGCTTAATAGCAACATGGTCAAAAGAGGAATCTTGCAGTTGATTTCCAGAGCCTTCAAGGATGGGAGCTTAATGTACTAGTTAAAGCGATGTTGGTCATTGCTGTAGAAAGTTCCTTTCCATCCCCTCAGACTATTGTCCTTGCTCCCCTACAGAGTATCCTTGCATCCAGTTTACTGCAGTGCTCGACTGTCTCCAAGTTTTTATTACCAGGTTTTGTAGTTCTTTGGGTTTGTGTTTTTGGTAAGGTAATTTCTTCAGAAGCATCACTATCTTCAGCCTAGGAGACAGGAGTGACTTGTACACAGGCTTTTCAGAATGCTTGCTGCCCTGCCAAACCGCTGAAAAGATTGATGAGGTGTCAGTGTTCAGTACTGCCTCCAGCAGGCTTTTGGGTAATAGCGTATGAGCAGTTTAGTTTCTGAAAAAAAATCTTGTAAAAAGAAAAACAACCAAAAAACCCCCAGCCCACTACAGCACTCTAGTCAGCAATCTGCTGTAATAGTGCAGTTTATCTCCTTTCCCACTTGTCACCTAAAGCTCAGTTCTGCCATCCTCCAGTTACCTGGACTGCATTTGTAGGTTTATTGGTTGGTTGTTATAAGGAACTTCTCTTGTGTAGAGTCTTCTCTGAACTCAGCTTCTAAACCAGAAATCAGTTTTATTAATTTCTAAAAACAGTATGGCCATTTTCAATTATTTGCTGAACTCCTCTTGAGTGTGATCATGTCAAAATCTGAATGTGAAAATTTAGACCGCAATAGTAAATACTCTCTGGTACACTTTTTTAAAGGCTTGAATAAAAGTCGTGTGTGCATTACATATGAAAACATTACAGAGGCTCTTAAGATTGCTAGCAGAAGCAAAGTGATAAATACAGTGACATCCCCCTCTGGCGGCAAAGCAGCAGAGCTCACGGGCACGCAAGTGATTCTGAAATCGGTTGCTGCAATTAAACCGTACCCGAGGGAAGAGCCTGACCCCTGGGAACTGCTTCCTCACCTGGTTCAGGCAGCGCTCAGCAGCCACTCCTGCGACACACAGTTCTGGCACTGCCAAAGAATGTGAGAGGGGGATGGGGTCAGTGGCTTGCTTCATTCAAAATACATATAAATGATAATTAATTGGCATAAACATGGTGGTTTAAGCAGAACTCCACTTTTCTACGCAAAACCAGAATTGGAAGAGCCCTTCACTTCTAGACACCACTTGTCAAGCATTTCAATAACAAGCATCCTTAATTTTTCAAACCATAATTCAACGGAGGAAGCAGAGAGATATGAGGATTAAAACATTTAATCTTTATTATATTTTTGAAGGACCTGTGGTTAAATTTTAACTGGAATCCTTAAAGGCAATTTCCATAATACAACGCTGCAGTCCTTTATCAATTATTTTAACTGTGCTGCTCCTAAACACATTTCTCTCTTCAAAGAATTTCTCAAAGAGGTAGATACCACCACCAACCCCAAAATAGTGTGCTTTGCTTGCCAAATACACACGGCCATTTCTGTCTAAGAGCTGAGCCAGTGTATCGTGCAAAGCACTGTAGTAGTCAGGATTATAGATGGTCTCAGATGTGAGAATTATATCATACTTTGATAAGGGTTTATTGCTGCTTAACAGGAGCTGGCTGACCTCAGACCACTCTCCAGAAAAAAATCTGCATTTGGTGAGCATATCAGGAAAGCACTCCACTTTCCTGGGCCTCTTTAAAGGGGGCTTGCTGTCTCCACTGTCCCTCCTACTGCCTTCCTTTAGACAGTTAGCCACTACATTAGGCAAGGTTATTTTGTCAATCACTGTGCTGTTGTAGTCCTGAAAATGGACTTTTTCAGCTTTGCCCCTTAAAGCAACTATTCCCAGCAGTCCAGCCCCACAGCCAAGATCCAATACAGTCTTGTTGGTAAACTCTATTTCAGCTTCAGAAAGGTAGTCTATGAGATCAAAGGTGCATTCCCAGATTTTCAGTCCTCCCTCATAGACTCCTGGGATGAGATCAGAGTGAGAGGAAACACTTTTAGACACAATGCCCTCTTCATCACTGCCATCCAAACACGTCATTTCTACTGCAGACATATTTATGTAATACAGGTCTGATACTGTTTCCAAGACTTTATCTTCCAATACTTTGTTGAAATCTTCTGGTATATTGTGCTCCTTGGCAGCTTTCAAGCAGAACTTCGATGGTGTCTCATCTTGGTGCTTGTCAGTACCCGGCCTCAGGCTGGAGTCTGCTACAGTATCAGCAGCTTGCTTGCTCTTTTCTGCAGATTCCTGCTTCTGTTTTGAAGAGCACAGCTGCAAGTCCATCTTATCATTCGTGTCTGGTTCATTGTTCTCATTTTCATCGATAAAAAAATTAAATCGAAAAGACATTTTCAGGAATCACAGTGAAAAAAAAATCTTAAATTGTTACAGCCAGAAATATTCATCTAAGATCTACAGTGATACAACGATTTTTTTTTTCCTTCTGTTTTCTTGCAGAGGATGTTTTTATATAGTTATCGCTATAGGGAAGGATGCTTTGCAAGCAGAGTATCAGATGTTTTGCCAATGAACTCAGGTGAATTATTTCTGGAAAGAGAGTAAATAGGTTTTACGTATCATTAAACTGCCAAATATTAGCACAAGCAAGCCGTCTACTTGTAGCACCCCAACTTTAATTTAAAAACATTTAAATCTACGAAAACACAACATTACAAGTGACCACACCTCAGGCGCAACGTAGGTATACGCAGGGAAACCAGGGTGGCCGCTCATTCCGGTAAAACTCGCGTTTCAAGCCACGCAAAAACAAACGCGCGCAGAGGCTGTGACGACCCACCTCCTCTGCCCCTCGGCTGAAGCAAGCAGGCCGGACGAGGAGACCTAGTCACGGTTGTGCCCCTTCCAGCCCCGGTTGCAAGACGCGCTCACCTTCCGCCTCTCCCACGTGGCGCGGCGGCTGCTTCCGCTTCCTTAAGCGCATGCGCGCCCGCGGTGAAAAAGGGGGCGGAGGCTGCCGGGACAGTGGAGGTAACTTTTTCCCGCCGCCGCTCGGCTCTGAGGCGGAGCGGAGCCATGTCCCAGACAGACCCCGAGCTGCTCCTGCAAGAGTTGGGAGGCTGGGACTGGGATCTCTGCCGTCGGGAGCTGCCCGCCGTCCTGCCCCGGCTCCTTATATCCTTCCCAGGGTGGGCTGTTGGGTGGCTGTGGGGGGAGCTACCCCGAAATGGCGGGGGGGTGGTGTGGGGATGTTCCTCGGTCAGCCTTGTGCAGTTCAAGCGAGTAAAGCCCTGGGAGGGAAGGCGGTGCACCCTTTGTGAAAGGCTGACACAGGGCGGAAAAGCTGGGAGCGGGGTATTTCGCTGGAAATGAGTGCAGCCTTTCGCTGAAATAAAAGATCACGGTAGAAAAGAGCGTGTGGTTCATTTAGCACTGTAGATAGCTCCTCCCAGCCCGCCCCCCGCCCTTACTCTCCTAATATATTGTAGAAATACTTGTACTAGTCATACGGGTATTGAGATACACCTGCCCACATTGCTTACGGAGCATCCCTACAATTTCGTGCGAGGGATGAAATCTACATGAGACAGCGTGAAAGAAGTCGCTGTGACTTATACAGATGCTTTAAAGATAACCTTTGTGATAAAATGGATTTGAGTTTCTTTAACGTTTTTACTCTATGTACCAAGAGTCTGAAGACTGGTCTGAGCATATTCGTAAGTAGCAACCAAGAAGTACTTCTTCTTCCTATGGATTCTTGTTTTGCAACTGTGTTACAAATTCTACACTACTTAAAATACTTAAGCTATAACTATTGACCTTCACAGTCTTCAACAGTCCTGCTGGAGCTTGCATGTTACACAAATTGCATGTTGAATAAAGTAGCTATGCATGTAGAACTACTTTTTCCTTCCCATTTCTGATTTTTAGGTACTTGAAAGAAGGGTGCTTTTTGTCTTCTATTTTATTGTATTTTTGGCTGTTATCTTACAGGTGGCAAAGCTTTTGTAATAACTGATAGTGATAAGAAAATGAGAATGAATGTAACTGTTTAGGAGTCTTGTTAACGTTCATGGTTAAATTATGTATTAGTGCCAACCAGCACATTAAATATGCAATTTTTTGCAGTTTGGAACATGGAAAATCCTAGTTCTTTGGCCAAACAATTATGCTTAGCCTTCAACTGAGCATAGTCAGATGTGATGCTATTATTGATGGGTTTATGCATGTTGGAGCTGTTAAGTGTTACGTAATTTTTCAGATAATGCATACCTGATAAGTGTTATGTTGCCCCTCTCAAACTCAAATATCTGATCTGTTTCTGCTTGATGCAGTTCTTTGTTTCATCTGGTAGGTTGTTACTTATTTCTGATAATCACATGTTTTCTGTAAGGTTTTATAAATGTTTTGCTTTGCAGGTGTTTTGAGGATCCTGACTGAAATGTTTTTGCCCCATATCAGCCTTGCAGATTTGGAACAAACGTTTTTCTCCAAAATATTACCTAAGGTATGACAGCATCAATTAAATGTGGAATTTTCAGTCAATCCAATGCAAAAAACCTGCTTAAAATGCAGTGATTCTTTTTTGAGGTCTCATGATATATTTATTGCTTTGGATACAGAACTTAAAATTGTACTGTTTAAAACTTATAACAATTTTGTGTTGTTGGACTCTTTCTGTGACTGTTACCATTCTTTACAGTGGGAAGATGATCAAACATACAATGTTCTACTTTATGTTTTCAGTAACAGAATTGGGTTTTATTTCTGAGGTGATTGGGTTTGCATAAAATGACCAAGGTGGAGAATTTTTATGTGAGCTATCCTCTCAGGACAAATAAACTGAAGAACCCAACACTCATACATCATGAATAAACACTGTGATATTTGTGAATAATATAGTGAATAAACTGTCAGACCATACTGGCTTAACCTATGTTATCTTTTTGGATTAAATGATAGAGAATTTTGTGCTGTAGTTGTATTAAAATTCTTCAACACCTACATTTTAACAGAAGTAAACCAGTGCTGAATTAATGGTTTCAGTTTCAGGCCTCAGCTTGTGTATTTTAAGAAGCCAGCAAAAATGGCCACTTGATTTCCATTTTCCTTATTTTATGTCTTGTAGCAGATTTTGGAGATTACCAGAAAAATGCCCTGTAACAAGCATATCCTGAACAAGGATGACTGTACCGTACCAGTTTAGGTAGTATCCTGGCACCTGCCTGGAAACACCTTGCTATCTTTCCAGTAACACTCATCAAATAGCCAAGGACCTCAATCAAAGTAGAAATTATTATTGTTTGTAGGTCGTAGGCTTATTTTTTTATGTATTTAAAATGTCAGTCATCGTTCTCAACAAAAGCCAATTTTTCTGAGACAAAATGAAAATCCTTTTAAAATGATGTGATTTTAAGTAAAAAATCCCTGGTAGAATGAGGTATATATTTCAAATGAATTAGCTGTGAAGTTTGTTTTACTAACAGATTTTAGAAAAAGTAACATACTATAGCTTGTGTCTATAATTTGGGAAAACCATAAGATGGTATATCATGCTTTATGATTCACATGCTAGAAAGTGTTATTTTGTTCTGCGAGTGCTCTCAGTAGCCTGTGACTCCATGCCAAGTACGCAAGCAGATATGGAATGGTCTATTTGTGTGTGTACATTTATAAATAAAATATTTAAACTTTGTTTTGTTCTGACAGACTCTACAATTATTTGATAACTTGATGTATAAATTGTCCAGTGAGGCCAAGGGATTAACCAGCCAGAATACAGAGTTATGCAGTACTGTAAGGAATCTTCTACAGGCAAGTCCCGTGGAATAAGCTATCAGAGGAAAGTTTACATTATTCTTTGATTTTTTTTTTCCCTAAACAATTAAGAGATTTTTAGAATATTTTTGCCAGCACTAACCAGGTGGTTAAAATGTAATTTGATCTTCCGTTGCAGCTGAAGTTCAATTAATGTTTTGTGAATGATTTGATTACATCTAGCATGTGGTGCTAATCATAAATTTTTTTTAAAATCTCAAGTTCTGCTGAAGTTCCTAACACAAATGGAATGTAATTCTCCATATTTAAAGAGTGAATCTGGCATGTATTTTTACAGTCACTTAATTCCAAGTTTTAAAATTTTTGTAAATTGAGAGCAAAAATCAAAAGAAATATAAAGCTTTCAAAGGGTATATGGTATTAGAGAAAAGCTCTGGAATTGTTCAATATAATTTTACAGAGCTTCATTCATCTTTAACAAAATTGACTGTTGTTTATTCTTGCTTTAAGACTATGGTGCAACTCTTAGAAACTCTGACTGGCTGTGTACGATACATCTGCACGCTGCAAGAGTGTGTGCCTCTGGAGAGTATCCGTACCCTTCCATCCTCTGTTCTTTATGTAATAAAGAACACATTTACACACTGCAAGGTAGGTCAGTGTTAGAAGGAGAAGAATTCTTACACTGGTTGTTTTTTGGGAAACACTCACTTTGTAAGAAGATCCTATTTTAAAATAATACTACTGTTGATTTTTTTTTTTAATTTAAATTTAGTTATCAAAGAGTTACAGAATGTACTTCGTGCACAAGCACAAATATGATTTTTCAGCTGTCTGCCCAGCAAGTCTGACCTGGTAGTGAGAGGCACAGACTGCTGTTTCTGTATTTTGCACCAAAGTCAGTTGAACATTTTGCTTATGAATGTAGACTCTCTGTGATATCTGTGCACTTCTGATAGCTGAGGTATTTTCAGAGCTACAATTGGTTACTGAAATGGTGGTGCTTACCTTATTTCTATGCAATTTCCAAAGTGGATTGGAAGTTGAGATTATGATCTCTGTCTGTTACGACAACTAATGTATACCAGTTTCAGATCTGCTTTTTCAGCTGCAACAATAATTCCCTCTAGAGCAGTGAAAATAAAACAAGGTTATTGTAAGGGCACAGTAGCTTTAGGTCAGCCTTCATTTTCACATTTCAATTCATCTTTCTTACAGGAACACTGCCATCAGTTTTCCATGTCAAGATTTAAACTCAGGTGCTATACCTTTATCTAACAATTCTAATTTGAAAGTATTGGGAAATACTCAAAATGGTCCTTCCTTTATTGCTGACCTTGTATTGTTGTGTGCAGAAATATGATCCTGGGCTCATACATTGAGGCCTAATCCAAAGCCCACTAAAGTCACTAGACCCAGGCAAACTTCATTAGTTGTTGATGAGGCTGCAGGTGAATAGCATTTTATATTTAGCAGTTGGTAGCAGATGTTCCAGATCTGGTTGTGTGTTGGGTTAAAGAAGGTACATCAATGCCTTGTTCTTTTTTTCAGCTGAAATGCTCCCAGTGTTTTCAGCATGTGAAAAATCAGGCTGTGATTCCTGAATGATTTTTTTTTTTTTAACCCTCTTCTTCCCCATTTCCTGCAGGACAGTGAATCAGTGTACTGTGGGCATCTGAACTTAATTTCTGACCTCCTACAAGCTATGTTCAAGGAAACTTACTCTCTTCAGAAACAACTGATGGAACTACTTGATATGATTTCCATGGGCTCTCCCTCTACTGAAGATAACATCACAGATATGGTGTCAGGTACATGTGTTAATGCTTTTTTTAGTCTTGCTCAATCTTTTTTTTTCTATAAAGAGTATGTCTGAATTTTTAAAACAGGGTTTTGAGTATGCTCAGTTCCTGCTGTCCTCACCAGCCTCTCAGAAGGTGGCATTTTGCAGCTTAAATATTTCCATTTTTCTCTTAAAACTTTCTCTGTGGGATGGGGCATGTTGTGTAGGTTTGCAGGAAAGGGGCAACACTGAGCCATATTTTTTATTGGGTGTCAATGCCCTATTGTATTCCCTAGTGCTTGGGATTGCTGCTGTTTTCCTAGGAG